CCCGTGCCCGCAGGGGCCTCGTGCCCCTCCTGGGACCGAGGGCAAGATTTACGTCGGGCGTGTCCCTCTACAGTCGGGGGAGCGTAAGACCCGGGTTTGCCGGGACTCGGGTTCGCCATCGTTTTTTGACGACCGCGACTCGGATTTTGACGAGGAGGAGTTTTGTGGGATGTCTGCAGCGGGAGGCCTCGTCAAAATGCAGGCTCGGCCTCGTCATTTTTGTTGACGACCTCGTCGGGGATTTCCGAGTCCCCGTACCCGGGTCTTACGTCTCCCCTCTACAGGGGGAGCATTCGAAATGAACTAAAAATCAACCCGGGGACGATTTGCCCATCATTTTTTGAATATTTTAGGGGCATGTTTGGGGCATTTTCTATGGTCCAAGGTCCAAATGTAGGGGGACATGCCCGGCCGAAGGCAAGCGTCAGGAGCGCCATGGAAGGCGACGGGCGCACGCGCGGGTGAGCGGCGTGGTGGGATGCCCGGTGGCTCCGGTCGGCGCGTTTCCAGCGAGACCTCCTGCCCCCCCGTGCCCCCATTGGGACCGAGGGCAAGAGTTAAGTCGGGCGTGTCCCTCTACGGGAGGAAAATTCCAAATTTTACCCAAATAGTCAGGGGACGATGTTTAAAGTGGGTTTGGACATGTTTGTAGTTTGTTTGGCATATTTTTACTTGGTCGTCCAAGATCCGCCTGTACGAGGACACGCCCGATGTAGGCAAGAGTCAGGAGCGCCATGGAAGGCGACGGGCGCACGCACGGGTGAGTGGTGTGGTGGGAGTCCCAGTTGCTCTGGTCGGCGCCTTCCCACTTCGTGAGCGGCCTTGGCCTTGCGAGACCCTCTCTCCTTCCTCCTCGTCCGCCTCCGGCTTCGTCCGTCTCTTGAGCAGGTTTTGTTGCCCTGGTGTCCTACCTCCGTCCGTCCTGGCGCACAGGTCGACGCCTGCAAGGAGACTATCGAGGTCCAGCGGCTCACGCAGCAGCTCTTGGAATCCATATTTGAAACCGAGATCACCGAGGAGGCCTCTCTGACAATCGCGGACACGTCCCTGGGGAGTCAGGAAGCGAGGGAGAGGAAGAGTGACGGAGGAGGAGGGGGAGGAGGCCGTCTCTTCCTTCGCGGGGAGCGTCCCTGAGATGGCGGTTAGGAAGCATTTGCAAGACCAGTTCCACCATGGCGATTTGGATCAGGTGACATAGCCATCTGACTCGGGGCGCGTTCGGGCAACTTGGCTGCGCCCCCATGGCTGTTATCTCTGTTACATCCTCCTCCTCCTCCTCCTCCTCCTCCTCCTCCTCCTCATCATCATCATCATCATCATCATCATCATCATCATCATCCTTCTCCTCCTCCTCCTCCTCCTCCTCCTCCTCCTCCTCCTCCTCCTTCCTCTCCTCCCTCCTCCTCCTCCTCACTCCTCCGCATCATCGTCATCATCACCATCATCATCCTCGTCCGTCCTCCCTATCCTGCCCTCCTCCTCCTCCTCCTCTTCCCTCATGATCGTCCTCCTCATCCTCCTTCTCCTTCTCCTCCTCCGCCTCTTCCTCCTCCTCCTCTCCTCCTCCTCCTCCTCCTCCTTCCTTCCTCCTCCTACCTCCTCCTCCATCTCCTCCTTCCTCACCCCAACATGGGATTTTGGGACATGCATGGCGGGCAATCGGACCTCGTCTCAACGGCCAGGGCCGGGGGGGGGGGGGGGGGCAGGGTTTCGACCAGTCGGAGGCGGTGGTGGCGCCCGATCTTGAACGGACTCTGGCCAGCCTCGACATCCGCCCTCGTCCTCCTCCTCCGCGTTCTCCTCCTCCTCCTCCTCCATCCTCCCTCCTCCTCCTCCTCCTCCTCCTCCTCCTCCTCCCCCTCCTCCTCCTCCTCCTCCTCCTCCTCCTCCTCCTCCTCCTCCTCCTCCTCCTCATTGTCGTCCTTCTCGTCCTCCCCATCCTCGTCCTCGGCGCGCCGCAGCGTCAGAAACTGACGACAGGCGCCCGCCGCGGCAGCTGCTGCCGTACATAAGGAGCTGGGGTCCTCTTGGGTGCGCTCCGCCCCCTCCTCCTCCTCCTCCTCCTCCTCCCTCCTCCTCCCCACGTCATCATCATCATCATCATCATCATCATCATCATCATCATCATCATCATCATCATCATCATCATCATCATCATCATCATGATCCTTCTATGCTCGTCCTCCTGCCCTCCTCCCTCCTCCTTCCTCCTCCTCCTTCTCCTCCTCCTCCTCCTCCTCGTCCTCCTCCTCCCCCTCCTCCTCCTCCTCCTCCTCCTCCTCCCTCCTCCTCCTCCTCCTCCTCCTCCTCCTCCTCCTCCTCCTCCTCCTTCTCCTCCCCTCCTGCCCTCTCCCCCTCTTCTCCCCCCTCCTCCTTCTCCCCCTCCTACTCTTCTCCCCTCCTCCTCCCCTCTCCCCTCCTCCCCTCCCCTCCTCCCCCTCCTCCTCCTCTCCTCCTCCTCCTCCTCCTCCTCCTTCTCCTCATCCTCCTCCTCCCGCTTTCAGACGTCCGACAACGGCGATGACGAAGCCGTCTACGGCGGTGGCGGCGGCGACGGCGACGGCGCTGGCGACGAGCGAGCCCGGCACGCGGAGCGAAGCGGCAGTGCCCCGCCCAGGTACCCGGAGCTCCTGTGGCTGGCCAATTGCCTGAAGCGCTGCCCGCTGCCGCCCTGCTGGTCCAGCGCCGACGGTGGCGCCGCGGGGATGCGCTACTTCGAGATCGAGGCCGCGCCGCAGGAGCGGCCCCCTCGACGAGCGAGAAGCAGCAAGGCGAGCGGGCGGAGCCTGCGGGGGTCGACGGTCGGCTCCTTGCGGACGCTCCTGTGGCCCACTTCTCGGGCCTCTGCGAGCTTGGGCTCCTCCTCCTCCTCCTCCTCCTCCTCCTCCTCCTCCTCCTCCTCCTCCTCCTCCTCCTCCTCCTCCAGGGGGTCCGTCGGGGGAGCTTCTGGAGGCGCCGGCGGCGGCCGCACCATCTCCCCCGCCGCCCCTCTCTTGGGAGCCCCCGAACCAGGTGGTGAGACATCAGGCGGTGACCTGGCGTCCCCCGAAAAGTCACCGCCGGGTTTCGGAACACGGCGTCACCGCCGGGTCTCGTGACTCCTGGGCCCGCCAGCTTTCGGGACAGCCTCGAACAGCCACACGAGTCCCCGAGCCGGGTGGTGACACCAAATCGCCCGAGACTCCCCGCCTGGTGTTGTCACCACCACGGCTGGGGACTAGCAACTCCCGCCCCCCCCTGAGGTCCGACCTCACGACAGGAGTGCTGCCTGTTGTGACACAGTGCGATGCTGCCTTTCCCTGCCCCTCGCCCCCGCCCCCCCGGAGACCGCGCCGCAGGAGGACAGCGAGCGCAAGGAGGGCACGCACCCGCTCCTCGGCGCCTTCTCGGAGCTCGGGCGCCTGATGCTCGAGTGGAGGCGCAAGCCGGACCTCGTCTGCGCCGTCGCCGACTCGATGGAGTCCAAGAGGGAGGAGTTCCTGGAGGAGGCAGGCCGCTCGAAGTTCGTGTGGGAGGGGCCGTTCAACGACCCCGCCACCGGCGCCCAGTTCTGGCACTGCCGCGCCACGGCGCGCTCCACCTGGGGCGATCCCGCCATGGTCTGGCGGTTCCTGGCGAAGGTGGCCGAGGGCTTCATCAAGGCAGCTCCGGGCCCCAAACCGCGGAGGTCGACTGGCCGCTCGTCCGCCTACTCCCCAGCCTGCCTCCTCCTCCTCAATCCATTTCACTTATGAATAACTCTTCCCTCTCGCGCCCCCAGACGTGTTGGCAGGGCGGGCCGGGCGTTTCGCCCTAGACGTCTTCACCACTTATGATCCCGAAGCTTGAACTACGGGCGGGTTAGTCTCAAATTGTGGCTCTCGCTTTAGCGCCGCACTTTTTCTGCTTGAAGTTGCTAGAGTTTCACGGATGGAAAGGAGCGTCTTCAAAGTGTAGTTCTCGCCTGAGCGTCACGCACATTATGTTTGAAAGTTTGCAGCGGTTTCAAGGACGGTTCGCGGATGGTGTTGAACATGGGTGTCTCGCTTCAGCGCCGCTCCCATTCTTGTTTAACGTTGACAGCAGCTTCAAGCATGGAAGTGGGGTCGTTTCCGAGATGGAAATATCGTTCTAGCACCGCTAAAGGACTTTCGCATGTTTGCGCAGCGCGCATCTTCTTCGTATAGAATATCGCAGCAGCTACAGGTTCTGTTTCAGATTGTGGCTCTCACTCTAGCGGCGCGCACATTCGTCTTAAACGCCGGCAGTAGTTACGTGGATTGCGGGCGGATTGGTTTCAAAGTGGATATTATGTTGAGATCTCCTGAAGGCCAATCGCTTTGCTCACTCTGCTGGCCCATCTTGTAGCATCGTTGGAATTTGCCTACGTGCTCGCGGGGACATTTTGGGAGTCTCGTCGGGGAGCCTCTCAGGGCGTCTTGGAGGGTGCTGGGGGCCTCTGGGGGCCTCTGGGGGCCTCTTGGAGGTTTTTGTGGCAGTCTCGGAGGCTATCTTCAGGGATTGGGCCCGACGTGTGAATTCGGATTGCCCTCTGGGGACCTCTCTGGGAGCCTCTTGTGCCATCCGGCTGTTTTGGGGCCGTCCTGGGAATATCTTGAAATGACTTGGACCGATCTTGAGGCCTCTTGTGCCGTCTGCGGCAACTGGGAGCTCGAGAAGGCGGTGACGTCAAACACTTTCACAAACCCAAGGGAAGTGCATGACATTGAGCATCTCAGGGCTCTCTTAAGGCTGTCTGGGACCAACGTGGGGCTATCCTGAGGCATTCTGGAGACTGTCTTCGGGCAACTTTGGGGCCACCTATTCCTCTCTCGGCTCTTGGACCCTGTTGGAGCTCCCCTGGGGTCCCTTGGGGCGCTCCTGGGGCGATCTCGAGGGCTGGGGGGCCGCCCCAGGGAGCTCCACTATCCGTGGCCGAAGGTCGAGTGGGCCAGGGTATTGATCGTCGGGGGACCCCCAGGGGCGGGCCCGCGCGCGCGAAGAAGACGAAGACGAAGAAGACGAAGACGAAGAAGAAGACGAAGACGAAGACGAGGAATAATAATAAGAATCAAGTCTATTGTGGTGGCCCTTCATGGGCCCCTGGCCGACAGGGCGCTGTGAGGCTAGCCCGAGCGTTTCAGTTTCCAACATCGTGGCAAGAGGCTGCGAGTGAGCACGGGGGCTTGGGGGGTCCGGGGGCACTTCGCCTCGCCAGGCCACCCCTTTCGAGCATGGTGCATCGTCTCCAGTTGGCAACTGTCCCCCCGAAAAAATACATGGTAAGCCACTTCCCAGAGATCTTGGCACGCCTTCGGCATCTTGGGCCGGCGAATACAAAGACCAGAAACAAGAACAGAGGCAACAGCTGCGCGGATGGCTTGAAGGAACTTAATTACGAGTAGGAGACTTCGGACAAGAGGGTGTACGGCAGCATTGCTGATGCGTTCTGGGTTTGCTCTCGTTCTCCTCTTCTTCCTCATCCCTCGGCTCCCCCATCCTGTCTTCCTTCTTCTTCCGCCTTCCCCCACTCCTCCTTCCCGGCCCCCTGTGAACGGGTCCTGCGCCCCCGGGGATTTGGCCCGAGCCTGCTGTTCATCCCAGTCTGTTGGCGGTCTGCAGGGCCCAGGTAAGGGCCAGGGGAGATCCCCAATGCGACGAAAAATAACCGAGTGCGGGCGATAATAAAGTACCCCCCCCCCTTTCCCCCCTCTATTTTTCTTATCCCCGTTCAACAGGTCTTAATTGTGGAGATTGGCGCGGAGGCCGAACTTTATAATCCCGACGTCTTTCTGCCAGGACCCCGTTGTCTTTGTGACGACTCCTCTGTCCCTCCTAGAGGCTTTGAGGGGAAGAGGAGAGAGGAGGAGAGGGAGGGCGGGCGCCAGGGAGGGCGAGCGAGGAGGAGGGGGAGGGTCAAGGAGCAGGGCATCACAATGATGGCCAGAAGGGGGAGAGGGAGAAGCAGAAGCGATGAGCGAGGCGTAGGCTAAGCAACATGCCCAGATATCCGATGTCTGAATTTGTTCAATGCGGGATCCCCTGAAGTCCCGACCCTTTAGCCAAGGCAAGCTTTTCATCCCGCGTCGTTTTTGACGGTCTTGTGGCCCGGTGAGGGCCCATAGAGCCCGAGCTTGGCCAACACGGGACCGACGTGATTTTTGTTGCTGTGCGAGGGGGCTGGTTTTCGGCTTCTGGCCCGGGTCTCTGACGGCCATTCGGGACGAACCGGGCACCTCCGGAACGCCTTCGCGAGGCGCAGCTGCAGGAGGGCACCCCGAGGCCGGAAAGCACCTTCGAGCCAACCAAGACGTCCCTTCACGCCATGGCCCAATGCTGGCCAGAGTTCGGCCCTCTCTCTTTTACCAGTTTGAAACATATCCCTATCCCTGTGTTTGGCATCACCTCACCTCGATGCCGATCTTAAGGACTTCCTCAGTTTCTGAGGGCACATCCCTGAGGTTGTCCTCGCTGTTTGCTCGCCCATCTTAGGGATCGGGATCACTTCGATGCTGGTCACTCTTGGCCTGGGTGGCCGGCGGCCGTCCCCTCATTGGTCGGTGACTCTGCTCTCGTCGGCGGCTCCTCCGTGCTCCTCCCCAGCACTCCGGCGTCGTGGCTTTCTGATCACAACGTGGGCCCCAGGAGGTCTTGATCACTTACCCATGGTCAGAGCCCCGAATCATCAGGGGTAACTCGGGTCAGGGATAACTCGGGTTCGTTTTTCGGGAATCCAAACCCGAGTTACCCCGGACCCGAGTTACCCCGGATAACTCGGGCGTCCAGAGCCCCACATCATCAGGGGTAACTCGGGTCAGGGCTAACTCGGGTTCCTTTTTCGGGAATCCAAACCCGAGTTACCCCGGACCCGAGTTACCCCGGATAACTCGGGCGCCCGACATAGGTCGGGGGTGGACAGACCTCCTACCCTGACACGCCGATTCGCAAATAGGCCGCTTTCGGTTCGCGAGAGGGCGTCGCGGCCGTCCTTTTTGCGGGTCCAGGTCCGTCGGTTTCGGTCCCAGGCCGTTTCCACTAAAGGGTGGTTTACTAAAGGAAGTTTGTCCACCGCCGAACCCAGACCCCCGACGTCACGATTTTTTCATGACGTCGACCCCCAGATACCTCGACCCATTCCCTCGGACTGGTTTTGCATCCTGAGTCGTTTTTTGACGCTCCCGAGGCCCGGTGAGGGGCCCCAGAGGCCGAAAATTAGGAAAAACCTCCCGTCATGATTTTTTCATTACTCGAGGGGGTCTGGGAATAGGGCCGGCTTCTCCTCCCGAGTCGCTCGCTGACGGGCCGGGGGCCCTGGCGAGGCCCCCCCCCGAGGCCGAGAGGGCCGCCGGAGGCCTCCCGTCGTGGCGGGTGGCACCGCGAGAGCCCGGGCCCGCAGCGCCCCGACGCTGGCAGCTCGGACTCCCCAGAAGTCCCGGGGGCGCGAGCACGCCAGGGGGAAGAGAGAAGGAGGGGGAGGAGGAGGAGGAGGAGGAGGAGGAGGAGGAGGAGGAGGAGGAGGAG